TGCCATTTTGGACACACGTGTCATTTTGGAACATGTCATTTTGGACACATGTATCATTTTGGCTACACATGCCATTTTGGGCACACGTGTCATTTTGGCACACATGTCTTAAACAAGTAATGGTTTTAGATAGGTCTGGCTGGAAGTTGTTGGCACAGGGAAGCTGGAGGTGGCCTAGTGCAGGGGGACATCCTGTGTGACTGGTTTGGTTTGCGCACCTCCTGTCTTTGACACTGCATACTTAGCTTTCTCTGGTGGGTCCAGCAATGAAAAAGGGGGTGAAAATGAGGCAAGCCAACATCTATTTACGATGTCATGACCATCGAGGGGCCAGTTACCCTAGAGGTTATGATTTGGTTTCTGGGAGGGTTGCAGCAGAGATTGCGGGTCAGAGTTCTCCAGCCATTGTTTGTCTTTTCGGTCTCTCAGATCTATTATCCCGATGACTACAAGGAGTTGTTTTCTTTTTCTTTTCTTTTTATTTATGTTTACTCATTGCACATCTTTACAGTGTACGATATGTTTTTTCATGCAGTGCATGTCAATCAAGTCAAAGATAGTAGCATACATATAATTTTCAACAGATAACTTTACATTCTCGTGTCTGGTAAATGTTGCCTTTTCCCTGAGCTCTGCTCCCTCCTATCATCTCTGGTATTTGCACTTGCCCTCCCTCCCATTATATCTTTGGATCTTTCAATTTCTGTCATTTTCTAATGGTATCTCCTGCCATTAGCTTGACCTATTGAGTTTCTCAGTGATTCTGATGCATCCTTATTGCTTTGTTACACCATGCCCTTTCAGACTCTGTCACACTTCATAGAAGTTGATGTGTTTTACAGCCTTTGGGTAGTATATCCACCATATCATACCTACATCTCTGGACTTCTTCATTCTCTCTTCCACTGTCTGCCTTGAGAGTTATGGCATTTATATTTTACTTAGTGTGGGACATCGTTTTCGCCAAGATTCCAAGAGCCACCTGCCAGGATGCTAGCAGTACAGAGGCCTTGCCAGGTGCTAAATTGTGTACCATGGAAGAGCACTACAAATTGATAAACTCTGCCTTTTCCAAGCTGACATCTAGAGCCCTCGTTCCTACACTGTATTCCTGCGGGTTTATGCTGGGCGAATCCTACAGCTCTTCCAGGGTATGTCTATTTCTTATTTACAGGCCCAGTATTTCCTTGACTGTATTATATTGTGCTTAACTTAGTAACTGGCTTTGTGGCAAAGAGGGAATGTGAGGACAGATCTTGAGATGGGTGCATGTTGCCTTGCTAGGCCGAGACTTCTGCATCATCTGAACTCAGAGGAGGAGGGCCAGCCTTTAACAGAGAGGAATGGCCACTTCTGAAAGTCAAGAAGATTTAGAGGGGCCTGAGGATTCAGATATTCAAGTCTATCTACCTGCTGTCTCCAATCAGTGTCTCAGGGCCTAGTCAGGGATGTGACCTCACCATTACAGACTGCCTAGCTTGAAAAGTCAACCTTTTGTGGTACTCCTCTCTGCAGTAAACCCAGAGTTGGATCCTTGTTTTATCTTCCTTTAGTTCCAGGAGATGAAAGGCTATTTGTATGCTGTCAAGGAGATTGTCTGGATCTAATTTTTAGGTTTTATTGGTAATTAATCACACTCAGCTCTTCATTCTCTTTCCCAAATGCATCGATCATTCCAGAAACAGCCACTCAATCCCATATTGTTTATAAATATTACTTCTTATGATTAATTTGTGCCCCCAATCTCTCCAGTGCCTGGGATACAGCCAATGCTAGTATTTCCTCTACCAGTGCCCCGGGAAGCTCTCCAGTGATTGAGATCTTACCTGCTTTGTGGTAGCATGCCATGGGGCATTCATGCTCTGTGACCCAGCTTTGCAATCCATTGGGTTTTGGCAAAGTCATGACGTACTGTTTGTTTGTTTTGCTATGCAAAAAGGAGTTATGACTTTCCTGACAACCCAGTACTCTAGTGGCTATTTCCTATGACAGCTCCTGGCACCAGCTCTCTTGAATTGGTTTGGGAAGACTCTGAGATTTGCATGCTGGAGCTGGGGGCACAAGGAAAATATGGGACCAGGTGGATGGAACTACAACAAAGGCCTCAGCTAACTCCCTGGGAGCTTTAGAATAGTGATGGTCCTTCAGAGTTGGCTCAACTTAAAGCAAGTAGGGTGGGCCTGTATACCCTCTGATTCAATAGTCATTGGAGTGGACTACCTATGGAGACCTAGAGTAATTTCTAGAGAGCAACTAAGCTGAGAGGTCATTGATGAAAGAGCAGAGACTGGAGAGGAGCTCAAAGGTCCAAGAGGTATTGATTCTTTTTCTTTCTTTCTCTCTTTCTTTCTTTCATTTTTCCTTCCTTCCTTTTTCTTTCTTTCTTTTCTTTTCCTTTCTTTCTTTCTGTCCTTCCTTCCTTCCTTTCTTTCTCTTTCTTTTTTCTTTTCTTTTCTTTTCTTTTTTTTTCCTTCCTTCCTTCTTTCCTTCCTTCCTTCCTTCCTTCCTTCCTTCCTTCCTTCCTTCCTTCCTTCCTCAGAGGGAAAGTGGGAAAGCACCCTTGCAGGGGTGGGGTGGTGGTGGTGGACACATTGCAATTCCTTCTCTTTCATTCTCTTCTCAGGATTTGAGCATTCAGGCATACCTGCCAACATGTTTTTTTCAGGCCACCAGGTCTGGAACTTGAACCTCACAGTTGGCCATGTGACATCCAGATACTTTGACCTTCATGCCATCTGCTGGCCCTTTGATTCATTTTTTTTTAAATTGAGATTTTCATGAATTTTCCAGATTTAGAAAGCTTAGTGAGTTGCAGCAGGCATAATTTTTACTACTAAACACTGAGGTTGAAACTGTAGAACATCAAAGTTAAACACTACAATCACACAATTGCTCAAGGGAATGGCAATACAAATGACAGAAAACCTCTCATCTGCAATAATAAATGCAGGGAAAAGAATAGAAGTAATATCTTTAAAGTAGTCATAGTGCTTATGCATTACTGTAGAATTATAAACCCAGTGAAATATCACACAAGCTGGAAGGTATAATTGAAACAATTGCAGACATACAAAACTAAGACTTACCAAATGGGCCATAGCTCAATGAAGTCTTTGAAAATATACTTTGATAAGATGAATGAGGACAGAATGAAGTAACAAAATGCAAGAATAGAAGATGAGCAAAGGAACTGATAAAGCATGTTGGTAAATCTAAATAAAAATGATTAGGGTTAACAGAAAAAAAAAACTAGCACCTTAGATGTCAGCTTTACCAATAATAATTTATTTTGTTAAAAATTTGAGGAAACTTGGCAAAATAATGAACATTTTAATATTAGGAACGATGTGTATACAGTTTAAAAACAACCAAACACATAAAAAAGGAAATAAAAAACCCAGGGTGGAATTAAAATGATATAACAAAAATGTGGAATATTAGAAATAAAAAGACACTTAGTCCTTCTTAGTTCTATCAGTGAAAATCACCATATGAATTGATTTAAAAATGATCTTAGTGGTATGGTGGTTAAGGTGGGTGAATCCCACAGGGCCGAATTCATGGTTGAAGTCCTGGACCTGATGTCTTGAAAAACATGCCAGGTGCATATGTGCCCCAAATCCTGAGCAGAATGGAGAAGGGACTGCCATGTGGCCACCCCCCTTGGAGGGTGATTTCTCACTTCTACCCTCTCTGTCACTTTCTGGGAAGCTCACTTAAAAAAAAAGTTGTCTATGCAAGCATAAAAAAATTTTTTTTAAATTAACATTGCAAACCTTAAAGTGACCCTGAGTTACTGCCTTTCTCCTCCCCGCTTTCTTTTCTCAGGTTCTCAGAAGGGCATCGACGTTGTCAAATCCCTGAAACCCCAAACTCGATCTTACCCGCTCTTTCCAGGCTTCTGAATGTCCCAAAGATTCTACCCAAAGGTATTTTATGTGTACACAAAAACAATGAAATGCTTACATTTAAAATAATTTGATAGTATTTGTAGCCACGTAGCTAAATAAAACTCTCACACTTTCTCATGATCAGAAAACTAACTTCTGAAAACGTTTTCAATAGGATAAGGGTTATATTCCAACTATGTATAATAGATTATACTTTATGGTAAAATTTGATGCATTCATTAACAAAAGGTGTAAGACAAGAGGCCCCCAGAGGAGTGCCCCATCAACTGTACTGTTCAGTCTGGATGTGAGGTAATATCCAATACAAAAGATTAAAGAAAAATAAGACATAAGAGGCTTGTCAAAAGCGACAATAGTCTCTACCTACATACTGTCTTTAACAACCAGTCAAGAGAATCTACAGATAAATCACAAAAGCAATTCAGTAGTTTTGTTGGACACCAGATCAACATAAGAAACAAATCATTTCTATACATTAGTAACAATGTATAAATATACTTGGGATCTTAGAACTATAAAAACAGCATCTTAGAATGATAAACTTTTCCAGGACAGGAGAATTACATTAAAAATACATGAGAAATGAATGGACATGAGAAACTGTTCTCTAGGAAGAACCTGGTTCTTCCTAGTTTGGCTTGTTTGATAAATAACAAATATTTATACTTACACAACTCTTTAGCTAGATCCCCCCAAAAGGGTTAAGCCCTCAGTAAGGAAACTCCCCATGATGAGAACAGTTGTCATAAACCAGCAGACTAGAGCCAAAGCCTATTAAACAAAATAACTTTAGTAACTACTGTCCTCGCACTAGGGAGAAAAGGGTGCAGTGGTAGGATGCTTGGGAAAGGATGGGTGTTTAGAAAAAAGTGCTAGCGCTAAGGTTTGAAGCTAAACGAAGGGGAATGGAATCGCTGAAGGATAACTGCTACACGAAAAGGACCTGGGCAGTAATATCCGGGTCTGAAGTAGGCTGTATTTCAAGCAGTCCCTTTTCGTTAAGACGGTCTTTTTCCAGAAGTAGTCCACCACTGATCAAAATATGCAGACTACATCGAATAGCCTCTCCAGTCAGGGGTGGTGGTGGTGTGGGCCGGTAATCTCAGCTTTTCTGGAGGCTGAGGCAGTAGGATCGGGAGTTCGAGGCTAGGTTGGGCAACCAGTGGAAAAGAAAGCATTTCTCTGTAGTCCAAGCTTGGCGATTCCGGGTTGTGTAATGCACACACAACAGCTGTCAGAATATCCTCTGGCAGGGACTGCGGGAGGCAGTTCATTCCCAGAACAGGCGTCTCCGGGCCTTGCACGGAGAGCGAGGAGGGCGCTTTGGGCGCTCCTGGGGACCTGGACTCGGAGAGGGAGGCAGAGGCTGGAGAGGGGAGCTAGGGAAGGGCCTCAGAAGGTGCATGTCCTGGTCGAAGATGGAGCGAGGAGAGCGTCTCTCTGGACTCGGAGTGGGAGCCAGAAGTTCGAGCTCCAGGATGGAGCCCTGGAGCTCCAGGATGGACGGGCTAGAGGGGAGGAGCCCAGCGGCCAGACCTGCTGCAGCGTCCATCCAGGGCGCGTGGATCTCGGCGTCCTGTGGGGCGGCGAACTCTGGGACAGATGCGCCGAAGGATCCGTGCTCGACGACGACAACGACGTCCTCAGCGGGAGCGTCCAGGAAAGCGGCCGGGTCCAGGTGGACAGGCGGGTCGCTGTGTTCTTCTGAGCGTTGGTCGACAGGACCCAGGAGGACCTCGGGAACCAGGAGGAGGGTGTGCCCGTCGAGGGACACTTCCAGGACGGACGACGGTGAGGGCTCCAGCAGCAGGTCGACGTCGTCCAGGGTCAGCTGCAGGGCAGAGCCTGTGGCCAGGACCAGCACCGAGGTGAGCGCGTCAGCGGCCGGGGCTCCCTCCGTGTCTTCCAGGCCGGGCGCCGCCCCCGGCTCG